AATATTTAAAAAATTTACAAATGCAATAAAAATATCGGTATCGGTACTCGGTATCGGCAAGTACCAAAAATGAAAGTATCGGTATCGGGCGAGTACTGGAAAAAGTGGTATCGGTGCATCCCTAATATATATATATATATATAAAATATATATATATATATTGTATTATAGATATATATATATATTAGGGCTGCACGATTATGACAAAAATCATAATTGTTGATTATTCCCTTGAAACTGTAATTCATAATACTAATTATATCAATTATATAATATATGTAATATATCCAATATATATATATCTATATATACTGTATATATATATATATATATATTGTATTATAGATATATGTATTAGGGCTGCACGATTATGACAAAAATCATAATTGTTGATTATTCCCTTGAAACTGTAATTGCGATTATTAATTTTGATTATCAAAAATTACATTGAATGATGTTTTGAATAGCTTTATACCATTGTTTGACTGGCAACCACATGCTATATTATTATAAAAAATAAACAGAATACACTCTTCATGAAAAACTTGTATTGCTTTTCTATAGCATTAAGCCTCAAATGTCAACTATATACCGAATATATCATTAATATACCGAAAATGATGACTAAACTTTTCTCAGTATTATTTTATATTATCTCATACAATCACTGTACTGTTTGTAAAGGAGTGTTGAGTAATAATCAGCTGTCATTCAGTAATTCTGAGGTGATAGTGTTGTTTAACTTATCTCTTGTTGAGAGCGAGCTAGTCTTTTTGATCAGTTTATGCTATGATTTGTCTACCAAACTCCACACGGGAGACTTTCAAAACTCAGCACTCGTCAACAGGCTCTCTCACTCTCTCTTTCTCTGTCCCTGCAAGTCCCCTTTCTCTCCGGAGGTTGTTTTGCAGGTTTGCCAAGTCCAGCTGAGCATGTTTTCAAGTGACTGAAAAGAATGAATTATGCAGCAGTAAGCATGCTTACAGCTGGCCGTTTGGAGTGTCTTTGATCTGAGAGCAGAGTGTGCATGAATGCCCGCATTGTGAGCGTACAGAGCGTGTGTGTGTATGTGTGTGTGTTAGTGTGTACGTGAGTGTTTGTGTTTGGAAGAATAGGGAGGCCCAGGTCTGGGTTAGAAGCGATTACACTGCAGGCACATTGGGTAAAGGCTAGCTAGACTAAATACCCTGACGCTGCTTGTTGGCTGGCGGTCAGATATTGTCCTTAAAGGACTAGTTCACACAAAAATGAAATCATCTACTCACTTTCATGATGTTCAGAAATGTATGATGTTCACTATAAGCTCAGTAGTTCATATTCACATAATACTTTCATAGCTCCATCTTTCAAGTCTTCTTAAATTCAGTGTCATAGTATTATATGAGGAATAGACAATAAAGTTGTTTGCCTATGCCATATCATTCAAATTGCATTTTTAATTTTAATTTAGTGTAATTAATCATTTTTTTTAAATCAACTAAAAAAAGTAATTTAATTTAATTTACTGTACTGTACTGTAATCAACAATTTAATTTAATTTAATATGAATTACTGAGTTGTAGGACAGCAACTGGCTAATGTTAAATTATATGAAAATATAACAAACAATATATTGACTTCTGAGCCATTTTTAGTCTATTCAATGATTTACTCGTCTGCCACAATATTGTAATATTGTATTTGAATTATCTTCATTTGATGTAAGTCATCAATTATGGTTATTATAATTTTAAAAAATGAGATAATTAGACCTAGTTTGTGTTGTACACTAATTCAGCTAATTCTTCATGTGTACTGTGTATTTAAGATATATTTATAGTCGTCACTACTGGTGTATTGGTGTAACCTTAAATACTTTAGTTTGAAGTCACTGAAATAATTTGTTTACAAAATGTAAATAAAGGTTATATAATGCATTTCTTTATTTTCTCTTACAGGTCGTAACGAATTAATCGCCAGATACATCAAACTCAGAACGGGAAAGACACGGACGAGAAAGCAGGTTAGTGGAGCTGCTTTAAGTTCTGAGTGTGACATGAAATAAATAATAGAGGCTATTTCCAGTAAATTCTCATTGTGATGAGCCAGACTTTGTTTATGGCTTTATCCAAACGTTGTCTCGCTGGCTTACTGCCTTCCTTAGTTACCAAAGCGTTCTTCACTGAGTGGACACCTGTTGCTTTGTGTTCTCAATTCAGTGCAAATCTTTACAATTTTACCATAAAGTCAGTTTGACTTAAAAACTGAATTTGTAACTAATTAAATAGCCGATCACTTTCTTTCTTTCTTGTTCCTGAACAAATGACGTGAAAGGCTGTGTTGGATGTTCTGTTTGTAATTAAAGCGCATGTTTTTGTGGCTAATGGCAGGGGGCCTTTCATCTCCATGGTTACAAAATGCTCCTTTTGTGTGTGTGTGTGTGTGTGTGGGGCCAGGTTTCCAGTCATATCCAGGTTCTTGCCCGGAGGAAATCCAGAGAATTTCACTCCAAGCTAAAGGTACATGCCAGTCTAGGTCTGTGGGTGTATGTGTGTAGTTTCTCAGGCCATATCTGTACTGAACAGTGTGTGTGTGCGTGTGTGTGTGTGTGTGTGTGTGTACGAGTACCCTGCTGTTTGGCTGTCTGTAACCTAGACTTCCTGCTTGTGACTGGACTGCTTAGTATGCAGTCAACTGGCTAACTTCTTTTCTTCACCATGTTTGTCCGTTTCCTTCCTGTTTCGCACAAAAGTGTGTTTGTATATAATTATATATATATATATATAAAGAAGTCTCTTATGCTCACAGGGGGTGCATAAAACAGTAAAAATACAGTAAAAGAGTTATATTGTTAAATATTATTATAATTTGAAATACTTCCTTTCTATTTAAATACATTTTAAAATGAATTTTATTCCTGTGACTTCCTGTTTCGCACAAAAGTGTTTTTGTTTTGGAAAGGTGTTGAAATATTTAATGTGTGATACACGGGTTGACTTGAGTAAAGTTGTTCAAGAACAATCACACGATTTAAAATGCAGTGTGAAGGTCAAAGGCAGACATGACCCCTTTAGACATTATTCAGTATGTGAGTATCTGTCCAGTTTCAAAATTTTCATACTTGAGACCTTCAGACTCGATTTTATATATATATATATATATATATATATATATATATAAAGAAGTCTCTTATGCTCACCAAGGCTGCAGTTATTTAATAAATAATACAGCAAAACAGTAATATTATGAAACATTATTGCAATTTAAAATAACTGTTATAACTAATTGTTGTAACTTAAATACATTTTAAAATGAATTTTATTCCTGTGATGCAAAGCTGAATTTTCAGCATCATTTCTCCAGTCTTCAGTGTCACATGATCCTTCAGAAATCATTCTAATATGCTGATTTGCTGCTCAAGAAACATTTCTTATTATTATTAATGTTGTGCTGCTGCAAAATAATTGTGCTGCTTAATATTTTGTGGAAGCCATGAAACATTTTTTTCAGGATTTTTCTATTC